GGGATTTGTTTGCTGACGTCATGTCCGTGCAAAATAGGAATATGAAGCACGCTCGCGCAATTTAATTTGATTAGACAAATTTACTAGCCATGTTATAAAAATGGTTGAGCCCTTCTACATCTCTTGTTTATTCTTTTGTGATCTCATGTGGATATTCAAAGAAATTTAAGGGTTTTCCCATCCTGGGCTCCATAAGCAGTTGTTTCAACCCGGCGATTTTTTTATTTTGTGAGGTTTTTTTTTCTTTTTTTTATCGAACTTCACCAACACTGCTTTTAAGCAACTTAAAAGTTGAATTGAACTGCCATCAAGAAAGTTTATGTCATTTCAGTAGGAAAGTTGGGATAGAATTCATTCGAGCATAGTTTATGCGTGCTTTTCTGGGTAATATTTTCATACCAAAATATGTTTTAAAATTGCCTTTCATTAAATATTTCATTTATATCTATATAAAGACGACGTCATACCATCTCTTTGTGTAGTCAGATAACAATAAATTTGCTTTCATACGCGGCTATGTTTTACCTATGTTGGTGTGAATCCCATAAAATCAACCGACCAGCTGTTTCTTTAAATGCTTTTTTAATTGCCAGTAAATAAAATCAAAAAAGTGTAGGCATGGCCATTATCTTTCGCCAAATACAACTTTATTTCACCTTTCCAGAAATGCATCACACAATATGGCTTGCCCTTAGTTAACCCTTTAACGTGACTAACATGTAACTTCTCTAAATAATTTCCACACTATTTTAGCAAACAGTTAATGAGAATACTCAAACTTATCAGGTAGAAGTTGTAATCTTGATCTTTCACCACATTCTCGCAACTAATTTACAAGGAATTGTGTAGCAGCAAGAGGGGAGAATTAACAATCAAATCTTGGGAGTTAAAGGATTAAAGGACCAACTCTAAGGTGCTCTTTCTTTTACTTTTTCCCGAATTTGGTTTTCGAAAAGGCTTACTTCTCTTCCCGTAATTATTTGAAGAACGACAAATCTGCACGTTAAAGCTTCCCTTCGACACATTCTGTGAATAGGCACCAACTAAGTTTCCTGGTTCTAGATATCGGCCGACCACAAACAGGCAGTTGTCAAATCTTTGTGAGCCAAATGTGTAACTTCCCCTGGCGAACCCAATGCCAAGTCTGGTGCTTGTTTTCCACACAACTTGAGTAAAATGACCAGTAACCCCAGAACTTACTCCAGGATTGTCGAAATTGTAACCACAAACCTCTTTATACCTAAAAAATGAGACAGCGGATCAGAAGTTATTCTTGTAGCACTGCAATGGCACGCATATTTGTGAAAAAACACCCCATTACTGATGGGCAGACGATTCAATGCATGTTTTTCTTGGTCAGTAATAACTTCAAGGGATGCCGCTCAGTGAAAAACTGGCTCATCTGGGAATTGTTCTGAGCTTTATTCCAAATCAATAAAAGCCAAGTTCAAATTATATTTTTTATTAAACTTGCATTGCCTCAGATGAAGCTTACCATGCATCAACAACCTTCTTAACCAGATCTGCATCACTTCCACTGGCGCATTGTAACCCCAGGTTTTCTCCTTGGTTTCTATTGTTTTTGTCATGTTCAAAAACACTCTCACGGGCAAGTTTTTCTGCATATCTCTGAGCGTCATCGTTAAGTTGGGAATTAAGGCTCATTATTGGAGCATTGTGTACTCTGCGGTAGTCGTTGTGCAAATTAAGTCCAACTTGTCTTGGGTTGTCGCCTGCAGATGAAAACTTGAATTTCGTAAAGTAAGACCGTATTTTAGGGCCGTTCCTCTTCCTAACTATGTGGAGGATCGCTGTTGATCGAGATGTGCTACTTTCAGAAAACTTAAAGAATATCATACGCCATTTATCAAAATGGAGACGACGACCATCCGTGAAATGTTCCACTGCGATATGGAACATTTAATTATACAAGTCATCATTTAGGTGCAGTGTAGAACTTGTCATGTTCGATTCGGTTGTTATTGTAAGAATACGAGGACGCGAAGATTAGAATATAATTTTTCCGGCAGGAACCTATTTTCAGTTTTATCATATTATTGTTATCAATAATAATTATTGTTATCGTCATTTTATCAGGAATTTTTTTGTGCCATTGCAGTGCCGTCGTACCTGCATTCCTTATTCTGGGCGATGTGCTGAACCCTGGCGTTGTACTGAATCCGGAGGTCGATCCGGAGATTGGTGCTGTACCAGTATTGGGAGCTCCCCCAGTGGAAGATCCAGTAGTGTAGCCACTTGTAGGTAACATAGGTGTGGGGCTAAGTGGTTGGGCACCAGGTCCACTGCTTTCTTTTCTTGCATTCAGGCGAAGTTCCACGTCACCATTTGGTAGAACATCCACCACTCCGTTTACTGAGTATTTGCCTCCATTTAATGGCTGCCCTATGGCTTAAAATAGAGAGCACAACGGGCGGAAATGGGTGAGGTGTCACAAAAATAAGTTAAAAAGAGATATACAAAGCACCGAAGACTTAATGAGAAGTATTTCTTAGTGAATTTTTGTTATTATTGGCTCTTATCTCGACGACAAGCAAAATACTTAGATACGTAAAGGGAATATAAAAGCCATGCGCTATCGGCCTACTTAGTGGTTAGAGACAGCGTGATGTTGGCTGAGGTTTTTTATCCCATGAACTGAGGTTACATAGGTGTCTATTAAGACGCAAGAAAGTAATAACAACTGGTCATCTTTTTTAATCAAATTTACATAAAAAAGACAGGAACCAACGGAGAAAAGACACTTCACCATTTCCATCTTTGTGAAACAACCTTTGTGCCTCTGGAAATTTTCGTCAAGAAACTGTTCGAACACTAGCACAGTTCAGAATGGAGATGACGTAACTGGTGACTTCAGGTAACGTTTCAATTTCAATTAAATATGTTCCGTCTACTGGTCTACTTACCAACATAGGAATTCGATGTGCCCAGAAAAACCAGTAGCATAATCTTTGCGAAAGGCCTGTAAAGAATTGTGACGATTAAATTTGTCTCGTAAGAGTCTTTTTGCGGGGAGGTTTCAAGCCACTAAGTCAAAATAATTATTTTAGAAAATTACTTCAATGGAAAATACCGGGCTAAACTTGTTTTCCACTTGATGGAAAACTTAGTTTACCATAGTTACTCTAGATGACTTTTTTTTTGACTCCCGGCGCGATCTTCTTATATTTCTGAAAGCTTCTGATAATGCTTTGTTTTCAAAAATTAAAGTAGCCATTTGGCTTTCAGGTTTCCCAAGAAGCCACTATATACATTCATTAATTCACACTATCCAAAATGGTGATGCTCCATTGGGAAACTCAAACTTAATATCTAACGGCATGTGTTTCGGTTTCTTAAATTGTACTGAGCTAATATGAAAGGAAAACAAATGAAATATTTGCCGATTATGTTAACCACATGATTGTTATTTTAGACATTTTTACTTACATGTTTTGAATCCTCTTCAGTCCTCCTCGAGAAACTGTACAATGACGATCACCCAATGCTTGTTTCAAAGCTTTGAAAAGGACAAAAGTAAAACGTACAAAATCCTACGGAAACTGTGATTAATAAGCAATATCCCTAGCACACACAGTTCTAGAACGAATCGAGGTTTAGACCTAGAATCTCTACCTTATATCAAAATCTGTCTCCTTCACTCATTACGTGATTTAAATTTAACTCATGTTTTATTGATTTCCTGACATAATTTTGTACCCGATCGTCGATTTGTCAGTTTACCACGCCTCGCACCATGAATGCAACTCTATTTTCTCTTTTTCAAGGTTTTTTCATATGTGAAATTGTGTTTTCTCTTTCCAATGAATTTTCATCGCTTTCGAAAAAAAAGCGCACTTATTAACTAAAGCAACCAAACGTACTGGATTCGATTCGACATGATTTTCCCACCGAGATGGCTTTGTATCAGCCTCGTGTGATACGCCCTCCTAAACTTAATGAAAGCTTATTGGATTTCGTAATTTTTACAAAATTGTAGGGATACATATAAGGTTATTCGCCAGCCGTGAGGTCCGTATGGGGAAAAACTGTGCCCGAGGAATACCGCCCTGAATACCGCCCTCGGCCTATGGCCTCAGGCGGTACTCAAGACAAAGAGCAAAGTTTTTCTAAATACGGAGCGACCTAGGCTGCTGGGTAACATTTTTATTTTTTTCCTAAGATTTAGAGAAATGCTTTCCAAAAGAACCCAAAGGTTTTGGGGCTGTAATTGCGGCAAGATCTTCCATAAGCTAAACAATTTTTGAGCGAGTAAACGTAAGTTAAATCAGGTAATGCAAATTAAAGAGAGAGTCTTCACCGAGAAAATTTTATATGTGTAATGACAAAGATGATTTAAAAGGCTTCCAAACAAACTTTGAAACACTTTTTTTAAAGGTATCTGTCACAACCTAACATCTGTCAATTACGGAGCGCGTAAGAACACAAAGCGCATGTACACTTTTGAAACAGTGGCACTGGTTTGGCAAACGAACTTAAGTTTAGGAACTGTCGCGACAGTTTTTCCTTAAAAAACATTCCATGATCTTACAGCAAGAATAATTCACTTTCATCTATGATTAATGTACGAAGAATACCTCTGCTCAGCCAGTAAATGACAAAGAAAGTAACCGTAAGTAGATTCAAATGCATGTTTTGAAGTTGTGGGAGTTTGCTTGATAGTTTGCTGCAATGACGTGTATAAATCTGGTCTTTCTTCCACCTAAAAACCAATTCAAGTGAGACCCAAGGGGAATTTGATGCGGCTTTTTCTCGTTGAATTCCTTCGATATTTTTTGTGCAATTTACGGTACAAATGACCAAATTGAACAGAATTGCAAAGACTTACTAAAAAAGTATTTGCAGTAGAACTGGAGACTTCGCTGACCGTTTTACAATGAAGAAATTGTTTGATAAAATTCAAATATTGAATGAATAAAAAGTCCATCGTTAAAAAAATTGAATAGTAGACAAATACCTCACAATTTCAACTTTCTGAGCTACTTTTTGCAAAGGATCAAGTTAAATAGAGACAGTTTTTAGGCCGCGTGTCAATCGACCAGAGAATTTGAACAAGTAAACACATACATGATTTCGAGCGCATTTTGATATGAATAAGCCCGATTAAATTTTTCTGACCAATAAAAACTGTACGGTTTTTTTTGACGCGTGCGATTAGCAGTCTAAAATCGTTCCTGCCTTCCCTAGTGCAGCCTCCTCTTCTACAATTTAACTTCTCGCTTTTTTGGACGTTAACCCTTTTTACCTCGGCGAAGCTTCCTGAATTATCTCGCGAGTCAGCGTCTGACTCAGTGAGGTGTAAAAGTTCAATATGAAATGCTATATTATTTTCAATAAGAAAAAACGATCTTCGGCACTACTACTAAGCAAAAACTTCCAAATCTAATTCGAAAGAATTTTTACCAGTCAACAGTCTTTCTTGTTTTGCTTTCGTTTTACGAATCCTTCCAGTCTATTTCCATCTTCCGAAAGCAATATTAGAGTTTCCACGGCTTCAAGTTTAATGGTTTTTCATGATAAATAGTCGCAGAATTTTTGAAGGTGGGACTGTTTACTTGTATCCATCTGTGGCCTTTAAAAATCGCACGGTACCAGAAGAGGTTTCTTCTGTGGCCCAGTCTCCGACGGCTCGTTGTCTGTAACTCATGGCCAACTTCATAGCCTGGTACAGCCTGAGGCACGGGACACGTGTTTTTGTCAAAGCACACCCGCGACAAAGCCACCCACCATGAATTGCCTATGGCTGGAAGCCCTTATCATACAGCCTACTGCACCTACAGGTTCCAAGCTAGCATTTCGGAATGAACAATTATACGGTTGCTTCAATGTATGGTTTTTTTTATCATAGAGCATAAGACTACTCCATACAGATCCTAGGCTTTCAATGGATGAAGAAATACAATAGAGGAAAATGAAAAAATGTGGGCTGATCAAAGATAATTGATCTAATATTCTCTTTGTACCTATCATTTGCCTTTGCAAAAGTTGCTTAGAATTAGAACGACAAAGAAACGTTTACTTGGCTGTGTACTGGTTCACTGGGCTAGGTTCTGTATATTGGGCCACGCGCTGCGTACCTGCTTTGGTAAAAACTCGAAAATTTCGGCATTTAAGTGTTTCATTCACGCGAAAGCACGCTGGAAACTCAGACGTCAAAATTTTGAACCCTCAATTTTACAGTCGTTGGTGTCGAAAACTTAACTATGGTGGTGTGCAGGCTTTGATTTTCTAATCTATGTATAACAAAGGTGTAGTTGCATGGATGCGTCATTTTGGATTGCAAAATAGCGTTTTGCTGTTGAACAGATTATCAAACTCTCTGAAGAATGTTAAGATCACGGTTAAACTGAACCGATCAGACGTTTTCTTTTGCTCACTTCAACGAATTTTTTGCAACATTGCATTATTCACCGGTGTTCTTTTTAGAAAAAAATCTTTGTTCGATGGATTCGGGCAAATTCTCTTCCATCTGAAATTGTAGTTTGTTTTTCTTGTCAATGGAAGATCTGCATTGTGGTAATACAGGTAATCTGTAGACTGCTTTAATTGGCTGAAAACGATATGGCCAAATTGACTCCGAGGACTTTATGTTCACATGAAGATAAAAGAGGCCGGGCCCAAAATGGAACGAATGGAAAGTACGCCCTAAATAGTGAGTTTGGTGTACAGTAATGAGTGATTTTATTTCATAAATAACATGTTGTTAACTTTGTTTCAATGGAATACGATTTGCACGAAAAATCTGTAAGTTCCATTAGCAATACCCTCGTTAATTTAAGCTATACTTATGATGTGGGAGTTGCATATTTGCCTTGTTTGCCCGGAAGCAAGTAAGCTTTTTGTTCCTGTCTTCTATTCTCTTACAGGCAATAATGAGGGTTCGGCTTGTGAGGGGTATTATGACGTCTATTCAAATTTAAAGTCAAACTGTAACTCTCAGGAAGTTTCCTCTAGGGGATCCTTCTTTTCTATCATTATTGGAATTATCGATATGTCATATTTGCAATAGCGTCATCTCCATTACTCCTTCAGGTGAAATTCCATTACAATTTTAGGTGTCTCTGACGCTTTTGTCACTCACTTATACTCTAAGATGGCTTAGTTGAATTATTCTGGAAGTAAAATACCAGACCACAATGACCTTGGCAGGGGCTACAACGAACCTAAAGTCTCGATCTGCGATCGATCAATCGATTCCTTAATTATTAAAATAATATCAAATATAGAACATTTTTGCGCCTTCTCTGTGAAGTAGTTAAGTTGAATGTACAACAAAGACGCCCACAATGATAGTTATGAATGACACCGTTTTCAAATACCCCAGAAATATATATATATATATATATTTTTTTTAATTTCCAACACCAGTATTAGTAAAAACCTACTTCTGCTACGAATTCTTGTTTTTTATTATTTGGAATACAGTATGTGTCGACTTAATGGTCAGTTAAACTTGGTCTTAACCTCGTTTATTGTAAAAAGCTTTGTTACCAAAGCGGTTTCTCTTATAAAGAGGAACTAGGGTAAAGGCAGGTGGCTTTATCTTTGGTGTGCAGTATGAACCGTTGAAGTTCCCTCTCCTAACGTTATTCCTTAGATTTTGTGGTCCTATGTTGTTTCCAGCAGGACTGTACCGTCCCACTACGTAAACACAGACATATCCAGGAAATTTGATGTTTCTTCCGACAGAGTAACCAACTCCAAGCTTTCTGCTTCCAGACCACACGACTTCGGTAAAATGTCCCGTATCGGAGTTGAAATTTGGCTGGTCAAAGTTGTACTGACATACCTCATCATACCTATAAAGAATTTGTTGTTGGTTATTGTTTGGTTTGATCTTTGAGTATCAACTATGTTTAATTTGTTTCAGTTTAAAATATGATTTTTTTTAATTTCATCGTTGAAGGATCCATACACTGAAAAACGTTAACACCATAACTTTTAGCTCTTCGATTTACTGGACAAAGCAGTAGTAAGAAGCACTCTTACCAGCGTTTAGCTACATTCCTTGCCATTTTTTGTACTTTTAAGTAGGTCAAAGGACCATTTCGAGCAGGAACGCAGGACATTCCAATGTTCTCTCCAACTCCTCGTCGTGCGAGAATTGCACTCGATTGGTGCTCCAAGACTCCCTTAGAGGCCATTTTCTGAGCGTAGTTTTGAGCATCGCACATCATGTGATCATCCAGTCTTAGGTCAGGGGAGCCGTGGACTCTTCGGTAAGCATTTTGCGTTTTCTTCAAATCATTGGCGACTATTATCACATAAACTGAAGTGGGAAATAAACTAAATGTAAACATTGGAATAATTTCCATTTCGTTACTCAACCAGAAATAAAAAAAGACCCACTCGTTATATTGGACAGCATAAAAAAATATTTTCAGTGATGTTTTGTAAAAGGTAAATAATCCAGGAGTTGTAACGTGGCTCATTACTTGGATCATCATATTTTTTTATATCATCGTCATTATTAATATTATTTTAATCTTTATTACTGCTTGAATCGATTACTCTTACCATTTAGGGGTCGCGGGCAGGGTGAAGTGGGTGCAACCTGAGCGGCTGGCTGAGGACCAGTGCCAGTTGTTTTACCAGTGCCAGTTGTTGGACTAGTGCCAGTCTTTGGACCAGTGCCAGTCGTTGGACTAGTGCCAGTCTTTGGACCAGTCCCAGTAGTTTTACCAGTACCAGTCTTTGGACCAGTCCCAGTAGTTTTACCAGTGCCAGTCGTAGGACCAGTCCCAGTAGTCTTACTAGCGCCAATCTTTGGACCCGTTCCAGTGGTTTTACCGGTGCCAGTTGTTGGACTAGTGCCAGTCTTGGGACCAGTGCCAGTAGTGGGACTAGTGCCAGTCTTTGGACCAGTGCCAGTGGTTTTAGCAGTGCCGGTTGTTGAAGTAGTGCCAGACTTTGGACCAGTGCCAGTTGTTGGACTAGTGCCAGTCTTCGGACCAGTGCCAGTTGTT